GAAATTCTGTTTCTTTGTTATGGGGTGAGGCCACAACATTAGTAACAAAGAAACAGAATTTCCGGAGGATGAGGCCCAGAAATCAGGATTTTAAAAAGATTCCCAGGTGATTCTAATGTGCAGCCAAGGTTGAGAACCACTGATATAGATAGATCCTTTAAATTTGAAGTCAAAAGAAGATTAGAGAAGATATAAAATAAGAATTTCAGGTTTGAAGGGCTGGGGTAATATTAAAAAGAGTAACATATAGTCGATAAATGCTCCAAACCAAAGATTTTTTTTGAAGGTAGTAGCTTTTATGCATATCCAATTGGAATGTCGCAGAAATTGTTCTTTTGATAACTAAATTATACTTCAATCTTTTCGAATGAAATCTTTCAAATTTTTGTGACCCTATTTTCAAAACACAACTAATATGGGATAATAAAAGCAAGCAACAATAATAGGTACCACGTGTTGAGCAAATAAGCACTGGCTATATATGTTCCTAATTTAATCCCGCAAGCAACACTCTGAAGAGACATTATTGACATTTTACAGATGGGAAAACTAGGACTAAGATCAAGGCAAGTGGCTTGGTCTATCTTTCTCCATCAAGCCACACAGTTTCCATTTTTAAAAAATAAAGTTTACTCCCATTTAATTACTAGTACATGTTTCTAGTAAATATCCCTCCACGGCTGAGGAAAGATATAAAAAGGACATTTTGAATTCAGGGTCCTTCCCCTTTCTCCCTCTCTCTCCACCCTCTGTTAGAATAGAAAACCAATGGAACTGGGGACAAAAAGAGTTGGGAAACAACAAACCCAAAATGTTTGGGAACAAAAGAGTCTGAGGAAGGAATACTAAACACCAACCAACGGTCCTTTAATAGCTGCACTGACGTGTCCAGACACAGTGGCATTGCCTTCCAGTTTATTATTGAACTTTTGGAAAGACAGCCAAAAGAAAATATTCATAAAGAGTCATGTTCCTTTTTAGAATTTTGAAATATAGCATGAAAATCCTTCCCAAATGAAAGTTGGTGATTATAAGTCTCCCGAGTTACTTCATGATTTCCTACCTTCGGTCTCAGTGCCAATACAGGAATCCTCAGGAACTCGCCAGCTCCTTCACAGCCTCCCGCTTTCCCCGACACCCACCACTTGTATATTTCTTCATACTGATGGAGCTGATTTTGAGTGGGGTTTTGTTTTTTGTTTTTTGTTGGATATTTTTAAATCATCTGTATGAGCTTGTCACATGTGTTATAAACCCAACTGAGAGCAGGGAAAACCATTTAACAAATTTGTAAATTATATTTCAGATTCTGAAACTTTCTCTTTTCATTAGCCCTGCGAGTTCATAGAAATATGCCTTTAAGTAAAATTTATGCAGATCTCTGTTCAGACTTTAAGGAATAGCTTCTTTTTACAAATACAAAGTTAATTGTCAAAGGGGCATATATAAGCAGTATGTACAAAACTTAATAACTTATATAAGATGTAGGTGCAAAAATCCCATCTATATATATAAAAGCCAAGCAACCGTTATGACCAAACGACCAGAATGACTGAAATGACCGGTTGCTATAACACGCACTGGCCACCAGGGGGCAGATGTTCAATGCAAGAGCTGCCCTCTGGTGGTCATTGCACTCCCACAGCTGGAGCACCAACTCAGCTAACAACCCATCCCAGTGGCCCACCAGCCCTGAGGCAGCCACTCCCTCCCTCAGTAGTCCTGCAGGTCCAATCTCCAGAAAACAGGCCAGGCACCAATGGACCAGAGCCTCCAGCACGATCCCAACAATGCCACCGGCCTCCTGGAAGTCAGCCTCGGGCACCGTGGCTGCTTCCCCTTCCTAGACTCTCCGCAAGGAAGCAAGGATATAAAAGCCACCACCAGGTGGCTCCCAACAGCCGGTGTAAACATCAGCGGGACAGATCTGGAACCTGGGCTGGCAAGGGCATCCCACCGCCCACCCAGAGAGCCGATCGCATCCCAGCCTTCCCCACGCCCCTCAGGACCCCACCCATGCACCAATTCGTGCACTGGGCCTCTCATAAACATCAGCGGGACCTGGGCTGGCAAGAGCGTCCCACCACCCACCCGGAGAGCCGATTGCATCCCAGCCTTCCCCATGCCCCTCAGGGCCCACCCATGCACCAATTCGTGCACCGGGCCTCTAGTAATTCTATAAATCAGAATAATGAACGATAGGAAAGTATAGTTCATTGTGTGGTTAGCTGTCATTTGCTGCTATAGTTTGAGACCCAGATGAGATTTTTGCAGCAGCACCATGTAGTCAGTGGCCTTTTCCCCATAGAGTAGGAAACAGGGCTCCTACACACACACCACTCAGCAGTGCTCTCCAATGGCAGGCTGACTTGCCTCACAAAATCATAGATACTAGTTTCCAAAGCTACCGTAGGAGTGTTATTGCCCTTCACAGTTGCCAGGCCTTCCCTGCTCTGCTAAAGGGAAAGCAGAAATGGTCTATGAGCAACTCCCCAAATGCTTGGGGACCTTTGTCATCTGCTGACCATCCCAATCTGGAAATTGCAAATGTATAAGATGTATGGTTAATATATACATAATGTATAATATCAACATGTAATGTATAAGATCAGAGCTGCAATCTGAGTTGCTTATTTTTATGAGAATGACTTTATTATGCTATTAGCATGTAGAACATTTAATTCAGCCAGAAAATGAAGATGAGCATCTGTTGGCTTTTTCGCTTTTCAGAATATGAAGTTATATCCAGAGAAAATGGGTCATTCAGTGGGAAGAACAAGTCCATTCAAATTACAAATCAAACCTTCTCCACCGTAGAAAATCTAAAGCCAAACACAAGGTAAGCAAGCCACCAGTGCTATTACAGGTGAGTTCTGAGAGTGCAAAGTCAGAATGAAGGAATGGAGTGACATCATCCCTCTGTGTCCTCAGGGAGGGTCTAATTTGCATTTCATTCTTTGGCTTTCACAGCACTTGAAACCTCTAAAGTCATATTTTGCAAATATGCAAGTTATTGGTGGGGATACAAGAGCTAACAAGATGGTCTTGTAAGTTAACATATAGCTGGGAACACTGAAAAATTGAAGTTCATTAGTACCAGATGTTGATATTAAATACCAAAATTTAGAGAAGAAAGTCTGTGGATCAGTGACACCTGGAGTGTGCATGAGGTAAACTACATTTGAAGTACAGAAGAACTTAGCTGGCATGCTGGGAAGGGGAGGGCAAGGAAATAAAAGCCATGAGGTAGATGCAGGGGTCAGTGTGTAATAGTTAATGCTTAAGGTAACTAGAGATGAGTCCCAGATATAGCAATCCTTTGCTTTTGGGTCTTTTTAAAATAGACAAATGAAAACAGATTTTTGAAAAAAAGATATAAATAATATTAGCATCATTCTATAATAAACAACTTTTCTTGATATCCCACATTACACATTGACACCAGGTTGTTTATATTGCTACTAGAGGCCCGGTGTATGAAAGTTCATGCACTGGAGGGGCGTCCCTCAGCCCGGCCTGTCCCCTCTCACAGTCCAGGAGCCCTCAGGGGCGGGAGACGACCCGGCGATCAGGAGAAGGCGACGCCCCCATCACACCTCTGCTGCTGCCACTGCCCACAGTGCAAGCCTTAGCCGGTCCTGGTTACCTGAGCCTTGGGCGGCCCTGGG